GAAGAAACAGCTGATCCAGATGTATTTCACTCTTGAATCAGGAAAAGTATCCATGACCTTTGAGTACAGATTGTCCTTAGAAAGCTTGCCTTCTCTGAGCCAGTGGTGTATCTTTCTATCTTCTTCAGTGTCCTTTCACAGGCTTAACAGCCACACACATACAAGAAGCTTGCAAAAGCTGAATCCATCTTGATCCCAGTTCTTCAAGAAGACCAAAGATTTCTGCAGAAATTCTGAAGAGTTGTAATATTTTTCCAGAAGCCATTGGGAAATGGGTACAATGAGAAGGAAGGATTTTGCAGAGGCAAAAGCCATTTCAGATCTCAGAGTCATGGACAGGATGTGACTTTCAACATCATGATTTCTTCATTTGTGCTGAGCTGCCAGCATGCTTCTGTCTGGGCTCTAGACAGATAGACACCAGGGCTGAGCACTGGTTTGAGGGTCTGAAAAAGAGATCCTGGCAATGGTTTCCAAGTGACCAGAACCCCTCTGGCCAAAATGATCTGTGTAAAATTAAGATGTAGTCTTACTAGTAAGACTTTCCAGATTCCCTTTGTTATAATTTCATCACAACATGAGTGGAGACATGCTGCTAAGACTAAACTTGATGCTTGCACTGTATTATAATACAAATTGAAGATAATTTTCCATAGGAAGAGAAAGTAAAAGGAAACCTTTCTGTCTTTACTGATGGCATAGCAAACTAACAATTGTTCAGCCTGCCACCAGCTCTGTACTGCTGTGTTACATGAGAAGGAGGCAAAGGTTTCATGCACTTTGAAACCTTTAATTTCTCTGACTAAGAAACTAATTTTGCATTATTTGTAATTTTACACATTTCATGACTTGTCACAATCTTACTTACATTTGAATGCAGTTTCTTTGTGTGCTAAATATAGCCTTTTAAAATAAGTGACATTTCCTGTATTTTATGTGGTGACAAATTGCAGTTGTCAAAGTAAGAGTCTTAAAAATAAATGACATGCATGATAGGCCGGTGAAAACAGGGATCTTGGTGTTCCACCTCTTCAAGGGGGCTCAAGCAGAAAGCAGTCCATATTCAAGGTGCCAGCAAAGACACCACAGGACATCATGTAACAGACATTGCTGTCTTATTCCCCTATATGCCAGTTCCTAAAAGCTGGAGCCATGACTTGGGTTCATTTTGTTCTTGGGTACTGTGAGGAAAGGCAGTCTTTTCCCCAAAGGGTTTGTGAATGAAGCAAGTCTTACTCAGATTTTTAATTTTATTTTTTTCTCCAGAATATTATAGACAAGAATACATTCTACTGTCAATGGTGCAAATAGTTTCTCTTGATTTTGCTGAGAAAATAAAGTGAATTATTTTTTATCAGGTTTAGGAAATATTTAACCCTAAATTGTCTGATTCTACCCTGCAGCTATGCATTCCAGGAACCACCAAGGACTGCAGTATACATGCAACATTATAATTTAGGAACTGCTGAATCAAGTTTTCCCCTCTGTCTGCCAAGGCAATAGATTTTACTTTTCTTTGCACAGGAAAAATAAAGGGAAAATGTTGTTCACAATTTTTTCAGTAAAAAAATCACTGACCATCATTAACATAGATATGGGTGGGCCAATATTGAATGAAAAAATCCAATCCAGATGTGCACACATTTAAGCTCACTGATGCTTCTAAGCAGTATAGCAGCTCTTTATTGCTTGTTGCTGTATCTTGTTAATGTCAGCCTGAAAGCATTCCAGGCAAATCTGTTCAGAAAAAGAGCACAGGATGTACAAATCTCACTAACCTAAACAAGATGGGATGCTACTTACAGGTATGCAGTTTACAAGGCATGGAACATATGTTGAGTGAGCAAAACAAAAGAAATCGTGATCATGTAGCAGTCAACCATCTGAATAAGCAAGGATGCTATGCACAAATGTCTTTCATCACTTAAACGATCACCTGCATTTTCAAAAGGCTTTATTAATGTATTTGATGGCTTTTTTGCCTCTAGTGCCATTGTTTTATATTCAGTTATTTATTTGAATATTTAATATTTATTATATATTTAAATATTTATTAAACATATAAATATTTTTTATTTATGAACTATTTAATATAGTTCATGCAGACAACAAGCAAAAGTCTTAATAAGCTGATAAAAAGTCTTAATAGACTGTTATTATAACAAAGTATCTTGACCAAGAAACCCCAATTACTCCTAACCCTCCAAATCCAAACTGATTGTAACAGGATGTTTGCAGCTGTTCAGATGGGAATGGCCCAGTATTTAAAATAATACCTATTTAATATTTTTCTGCAACAGATATCAAACTTATTTTTCTAGACCCGAGTGCCTATAACTTTTGTCTATTAAACAAGTCCTCAGAATCCCATTTTTGGCCTCTGTTGTAGTACAGCCCAACCAGAACTTGCCCTAAAGGAATAGCTGTGGAGCACCCTGGTGTTCAGATGTGCAAAAGTCAGAGCAGGCAGCAGCTCTGGGGAGCAGAGCTGTGTCCCAGGGCTGCTGTGGGATGTGTAATACACAACTGGGCACTTGCCTCTGCTCAATAATTTGGCTCTATGGCCTTCTGGGGGCATAGGGCAGCAGGAGGCCAATGGTACAAGACTGTGGTGATGGCTTTTCCTTGGTTTTGTCCATTTCTGGGCCAGTCAGTGCTGCCTGTACACTCCCATGGCTTTTCTCTGGCCCGTGTTCCTGAGCAGTGCCTGCAGAGGTGTCTGGAAGCGCAGGCTGCAGCCAGGCACAGCAAAGTGAGTCAGCTGCAGCCTGCATGGCAGCACTCAGCTGTGTCCCAGCAGAGCTGCGGATGTGTCCCGGGCCTCCTGCTGCACGTAATTCTGTTCTCTAGTCAGGAGAATTTCTAAAATTGGCCTGCCCCCAGTGATTTCCCTGGCTGCCACAGCTGCCTGTGCCCAGCTGCCGTGTGGGCAGGCCGAGGCTGGCACCGGCAGCGCTGCTCAGGAGCGGGTCAGGGCCTACTTGGGCCGGGACTGGCACAGAGCTGGCACAGCTCCATGGGCCGGGACTGGCACAGAGCTGGCACAGAGCTGGCACGGAGCTGGCACAGCTCCATGGGCCGGGACTGGCACAGAGCAGGCACAGAGCTGGCACAGAGCTGGCACAGCCCCATGGGCCAGGACTGGCACAGAGCAGGCACAGCCCATGGGCCGGGACTGGCACAGAGCTGGCACAGAGCTGGCACAGAGCTGGCACAGCTCCATGGGCTGGGACTGGCACAGAGCTGGCACAGAGCTGGCACAGAGCTGGCACAGAGCTGGCACAGCTCCATGGGCCAGGACTGGCACAGAGCTGGCAAAGCCCCATGGGCCAGGACTGGCAGAGAGCTGGCACAGAGCTGGCACAGCCCCATGGGCCAGGACTGGCACAGAGCTGGCACAGAGCTGGCACAGCCCCATGGGCCCGGACTGGCACAGAGCTGGCGCAGCCATGCCATCATAGGCCCTTCTTCCAAAGCACAGCTATGCAATGAGCGTGGGGAATTACTTACAGGGGTGTCTCAGGAGTTCTACAGAGAAGCCCCATTCTACTGAGAAAGAGAAAAAACACACCCAGCCATAAGAGAAATGACAAGGAACATGAAGGAGATGAAAACTGGAGAGACAGAATGCAGTGATAGCAAGGCAGCTCTGAAATGCTGCATGGTTTTGTTTTCTCTGTCATCTCATCTGCTGTCTAACCTGCAGCTCTTCTAAGAAAGACATAAAATACAGCTTAGTTTCTAGAAGTAAGGAGAGCAAGTTGGAGTTGGGTATGACCCACTTACATAGGACCAAAAATTCAAAGGATTACAGTGTAAGCCACAGAATGATGGATTGGGGTGAAGCAGAGATGGACATGGAGGGATTCTGTGCAGACCATGCTTGATATTTTTAAAACAAAGTTAAAAGAACTTTAAATAAGTTAAATAAAATAAATTTGATAAAAATTTATAAATAAAATAGAAATTAATTTTACGAACCACATGTACATGTGTTTGTATGCAAAAAACTGACCTTACCTCCCAAAAACCTCTGAATTTTGCAAGTGTGACCATAAATTTAAAAGGAAAGGCTTGTGTTTTCCTTCTCTAGACCTTACTCTGCTTCTGTTTTCCCCTGTGGGAGGGAGGTGAAACAAAAGTGGAGTTAACCCATCTTGTAGGAGCAAGACAATGCTTCTACAGCCTGACAGCACTGGCTAAGCCTGATGTTGATGAAATTCCTTTGGGTTTTTTGCTGATGCTATTAAAAATTCTATGGGCAGTGACTAACTTATTTGAAAATGACAAATGGCATGGAGAAACCAATCTTTGGGTGCACCATCTATAGGGATATTTTAAAAGACTGATTTCTGGAGTCTAAAGTCCCTCCAATTGAGACATTAAAAAAAGTGCTCTGATTGGGAAATAGCATTTTTCTTTATTTTGAGCTTCCCAGCTTTTGTTGGCCTGTACTATGCAGAAATATAATAAAAAACCTGTTATGCTTAAAAATTCGGTATAAAAATGCAAACTATTTACCTTCTTTAGAGAACTTATTTTAGGAGCTCTCCCTTCCCTCTTCTCACAATTTTTAAGAATGCATGGGGAGAATTTTAAAAAGTGAAGACTGTGTGATGGTGGGATAGCTTGCTTGACATTTCTCAACAAAAACTGATCTCTTGGTTTCAGGCTATTTTTCTAGCCTGAATGAATTTTCATGGTTACATTGAAAACCCTTGAAAATCACAGTTTATAGGGAAATGGGTGATACAACCTTAGTTATGATATATAATGAGCTGCCATTCTAAAAAAAAATTGTTAACTCCTTCTGGGAACTTGTGACTATATTGTGATGTTCATGCACCATCTGTTTGGTTATATTCCAAAAAAACGTGATGGTGAAACATGTATAGTCTAAGTGTCAGTTTAGATTAAGTGATCAGCTCCATGAACTACAAACACAGACACACACCTACGCAGCTAATCAATCTAGACTTCATTTGTCAGTTCAGTGCATATCATTTGCAGAGGAGAGAACAAACTCATATGTTTAATGTGGCTAACTTTGCAATAAGGAGGCTTTTCCTGATCTAAATGTTTTCCCTCATCTATAATTCCATTTTGGTAACGAAACTTGAAACTGGGGAGTCACGCTCTCAGGAATGCTGATGTTGGCTTAGAAGTCGTGACTTTTGATGTGTAAAGACTTGGGAACCTTATGAATTAGTCTCTAGGCCCCTTAAAAACATAGTCATGATTCTCACAAATTAGCAGACATCCAGGGGTGGGACACTGAACAAGTCCTAACAATTAGCAATTATTTGACCCAGCAAACACTTTCAGCAGGTAGTTATTAGGGTCTGCCCTGTGACCCCATGGCGTGTATCAGGCAGGAGCTGGAGCTGCAGGGCTGAGCAGTTCTCTGGCTCTCACCGCTGCACTTTCCTGCTCAGCACTTGTGGGTCACAAAGCTGGCAAGCCTGCAGGTACAAACAAATTTTATTGGCTTAGTACAGCCATCAAAAGTTATTGGCCAAAGAAGTCTCAGCAGTTGGGGATGGATATATTGGAATTACTGGCTGAAAAATAGCAGAACAGGTCTTCCTCCCCCCAGATCTGCACAGAAGGAATGAATGAAGCGTAGGGATTTCAGTTTAAGTTAATGCCGTGTTAGCTGACACACAGGCAGCTTCAATTCTCTTTGATTAGTGCAGCATTAAGTGACAAAGTATTTAATCAGCAAGCTAACAAGTGCAGCATCTGATTGCTCTGTGCATGCACTTGTGTGGGGGTGTGACTGAAAAAAGTAAATAAAATTACTTTCCTTGCTTTAAATGAAATGGGATCCCTAATTTTATTACAGCTGCAATCAGTTTAGAGGCATGATAGAGCAATAAAAATTGATTCTATCCTGTTTTATTTCTTTAACAAAGTATTTCATTTAAAAAGCTAATACTGTAATTTAACTGTTTAGCTTCTTGAGGTATGAATTTAGGCCTTATTTCCACAGTGTCTCTGTCAAGGGAATGATCCACAAGTCTTATCTTGATGTTGTACTCTTGCATCTAAAGCACACATCTTTCTATTTGCCACTGATCAGATTGAGCCTCCTTTTCTTAGAAAGGTCTAGAAATCATGATCCAAGTACATAAGCTTATTAACTTTCAGTATTGCAATTCATTACATCAAGGTCTTAAGATAAATACTGTGAAAACCCTCTAACTGCTGCAAGCCACTTACTGGCTTAGTGATGCAGATTACCATCAAGATGTCACCCTGCACTGTGCTCTCTGCTGGGCTCCCATTGAGCACGGTCCAGTTCAGATTTCTGTCTTGGATCCGAAGCCCTCTGCACAGACCCTGCGGTTACCTGTGAGATTGTCTCTCTACTGTGCTAAACCAAAGCTGCATGAACTGGCAGAGGATGATTTGTGTGGTCCTTTCTTGCCGCTGGCTTCATGGATCTCACACACATGAGCTGGAAATGGCCCGTGTACCCGTTCATTCTCAGACTCATCTTCCAGTTCCAGGCAGAATGATTGCTGAACCTGATGTTCCAGGCACCAGGGGCACTCCACGTGTTAGGTACCCAGCAGTCAGAAAGGCACCTTGTCTAAGCATTTTCTGCAACCAAATAAGACAGAAGGCAATGGTGATAGGTGGTGGAACTCAGAGAAATAGTGAGTCTGTATTAATTTATGTGGGCATTAGTGTAGGAACAGTGGAAATTCTAGTGGGCTTTGAAGTAAGTGAGACAGCTACTTTAGTATTAGCTAACTATCTATTCAAGAACTTCCTTTGTTCTAAGAGGGAGAAAAGAGACTTTCAAAATAATTGATAAAAAACATGACTCACAAATGCAAAATAGCCCCTTGTAGCTGAGTGGCAAAAGTCCTAAATATTCATTGAGATTTTTGTCATTGTTTTCAAAGAACTCCTAATTTCAGCCATAATCCATAATTTATAGTTGGAGCCACCCCAGAAACATGGGTCCAGGAATGGAGGCTGCAATAAGTCAGGTGAAAAGGCTGAAGTCACTCTGATGTGACTAGGTGGTTTGTGGAGGAGAATGGTGCTGAGCACACCATCACCCAGCCCTGGGAGTGGGGGCAGTGGCACATCCCACAGCTCTTCCTGTGTCCCTGCCTGAGGCAGCAGAAGTCATCAAAAAATCTGTAGCATTTTCTCCTCTCTTTATCAACAGCAGCACTCCTGGGAAGTTTGTTTTTTGAATTTACAGTAGAGTGCTGAGGGAGGTTAGCCTGAGAAGACAGACATGGAAAACAGACCCTTGAATATGAAGTTGACAGGTTTTATTTAGAAAGCTGGCATATGTACTGGCTGCATTCATATCTGCAGTGTTCCCCAACTTGACAGGCAATCTAGAGTATGGTGTATATTAAAGAGAAGTAGTTTTGAACTCAGATTTTGGTTCCCTTCATACAATTCCTGTAACACTGTACATTTTTAGACAAGTACTTGTTTTGTTTTTCAGTAAAGACTACATGGATTTTTTTTTTTAACAGCTCACTGAAAAAAAATTGTGCAGTGGCATAAGTCTGGCTGCCTAGTTAGGCAAGTTTGCTTGCATTTTTTAAATGCAAATAAAATACCATCAGAGTTGATCATAAAAGCCTGCCTGAAGAGAGTATAGGAATGCATCACAAAGTTTTTTATGGTTTTAATTTAATCTCAGAAATAATGCCCAGTAAGTAGAGTACATTACTATGTAAGCAATATCAACATAACCACAATTCCTTTGAATTTCTCTGTGACCTTAGGAGGATGGGTTGGTACTGCAGGTTTTGTCAGGCTAATGCCTCTCCTCTGAGATGACAAAGTAAATGGCCTATTCATGGGATCAAATGTTATGTCATCTCATTCAAAAAGAAATATATTTATAAGAAATATATGCTTGCTCATCCATATGCTATTGACCTCGGTTCAAGTCCTGACTCAAGAAAATGTCTTTGGGAGGGTACTTAAACACAATGCCTGTGTTTACATGTTTTTCTGAGGGGGAGGTGGGCTGCAGAATGTGTTCAAGTTCTTCAGCTAAGATAGAAGAAAATGTATGTAGTACTGTTGTAAATCTTCCAGAATGGGAAAAATTTGAAACCTCAAAAAACCTGCCAGACATAATTGTTGAAGTGTATTGGTCCAGGGACAAAGTGTTGTTAGAACTGTGTAATAAAGAATACCAGGCTGTACTTTAAATGTTGCACTTTAATAAATTTCTTTCATTTACTGAGGTGGGGGTTCCCACACAAGTCTTCCCTTGTGTGTAGAAGTGTTGCTGAAGAATTCTGTCATGTAATTTCTTAACTTTCACAAGCAAATTCTGATTGCACACAGATCACACCACCATCATTGTGATGCTCTTTCATGATCCTAGAACCACAGGACTGGCTGCTAGGAAGGATGTAGATCCTGCAGCTGAACAGTTTTGTAGATTACCTTAAATTGGTCCCAATGGTTAAAAGTTATCAACTATTTTAGAGTTATTATGAAATAACTTTTTTAAAGCAGCAAACAGAGAAACCTTCTGCAACCTTCAATTTAAACCTATTGCAGAAATAACTCAAATAAAAATAAATGAAAGTTAAAAATTTAGCATGCAAGTTAAAACAATTTCAGTTTTGTATTATTCTCTGTAATATTTTCTTACTTAGATTTATACAGACTTATCAATATATCCCACAAGTTTTACAATTCTCTTACAGATCTTCATTATAATGATTCATTGAGAGCAAATGTGAAAAGAACAGAAAATAAGCATTTGACAAAAATGAATTATTAGGATTTCTCCCAGACTGGGGGCTTAATCTGCACGGAAAGGTACTCTACATATAAACAACCCCAGGTGTTAAAGGCTTTTTGCTCAGGAGATGATGAGACCCAAAATCTGGCACCTGAGTGACTCAGTGTGCAGATGAGGGTGATTGTCCTGTGACCAATCAGTCCATTCCCCAAGTAATATCAGGGAATGCTCAAGGCAACTGTTTCTGTGTCAGAGATTTTCAGACTAGGCTTTATAAGGCAAAGAGTTTACCCTCTCCTCCCTCTCCCTCTGCAAAAGCCCCAAATCTTCCACCAACCAAATAAAGGGCTATGTACCTCTTTGGAGTATAAAGTGTTTTGGCTTCTGTGTGTAGCTGTGAAGCCTGAAGAGCTGGAGGAATTACAGAAACCTGATTGTTTATTGACTGGTAAGTGAAATGAACTTGTGGTTTTAATCCAAACCTCACAAGTGCATGTTCAGATAATAAATCCTGCAGATATTGCTACTTCTGTTTTCATAATCTTAAGAGAAAGTTCCCTGGAACTGTCATTTGGGACTGAGGCTGAAAGGCAAAAAATAAGGGTCGGGAATCACACTGTCAAGATGGTTTCCACTTTCATTTGTCCACTAGATGCTGCTTCTGTTTATAGCTAGAGATTGCTCATAGTGAAATGATGCTCGTGGGGGAGGATGCTACTTCATGGTCTGAAATGAGCTTGTGGCAGTACTGAGAGTTACCCCCTGACAGGAGAGCTGAGCTTCTGGAGAACCCTGGACTAAGAGAGAATGTGTTGAGAACCCTGGACTAAGAGAGAATGTGTTAGAAGTATTTTGCCTGCTAACAGTATAAATACTCTGTCTGTTTTCTGCAGACTGAGTTCTGGCTGGACTAGCCATGCAGATTTATGGCATCTCAGTGGTTTCATGACGCTGCCTACTGTGCAAACCCTGGAGCTGGTTTCCGCTGGAAACTAAGTACAGCGACACAGAGAGTGTAGATGCACATAGAAGTGAGAAGTACAAATAGAAATTATAGTTTTAGAGTGATCCTTTCCTAGATTTTTAAGGCCCTTGCTGTACTGCACTGGTATGTCAGAAATATTTTTAATATATACTTCTTTCCCTTGGTTAAAATGAAATGTTTAACATATTGTGTTTTCTGTGTTTCTGGACAAAAGGGAGTAAACAGAAGAGGGGCAAGGACAGGGAAAGGGGAGAAGAGAAAATCCCTGAAGAAGCTGAGGAGCTTTCCAAAGAACAAATAGTATGATCTACTTTGTGGCTAAACTGATTAGCTCTCTTATAATCACATCTCAGCTGATGAACTTTGTGATCTTCCTCTGTAGAGCCCTCTATGGCTGTTCTATTTCATTCCTTAAGAAGATTAGGTGGGTAATCCTGAAGCTCCACAAAACCACCTGTTGTTTGGGCTGCCGTATAATACGGCTTTTGAGGCAATCCTTTGACAGTTCAGGAGTAGGATTGTGAGTAGGCTCAGTTATTTATGTACCTGCTGGTTGCAGTCTGTGTGTGCTCCGTGGCACTCTGGGCTGTGTTTCCAGCAGCATAACTAGCTGGCCCTTAGGAAAACCAGACCAAATCAACCTACCTCTCTCCTGCTTTCCCTTCCCAAGGGACTGTTCCTGTCTGCAGCAGCGCTGCTTTTGTTGCTGTAATGACATTTGCAAAGTCTGTGTCTTTACCATCTGGCTGTTCTAGGGTTTCAAATGCACCAGGTGTTGGTAAATTAATCTACTTCATCAGGAAGGGTGCCTTGCAGTGTGCCTAGAACAGAATTATTAAAGAAAACGAAAAAAAATGACCTGAAAACAGATAAATGCATTGGATAAAGAGAGTAAATCCAGGAAAGCCACTCAGCTGCAGG